GTCCCACAGGCTTTGTTTGCTAGGAGTTCTCCTGTGTGGGAGCCTCTGCTACAGGCTTTCCCCTTTCCAAGCACTGGCAAAGGTGACACTGCCCCCGCGTTGTCAGGCCTGCGTGTTTATTTACAGTTCATGTGGGAGGTGGGTCTTCCCCCTCTCCTCTGAAGTTTTCCTCCCACTGCCACTTTCAGAAGCTTTCCTGCTCCTGCTTACTGAGTGGTGCTGCTGCTCCTGCTGGCGCCTTGTTTATTTACAGTTCACTGGGAAGTGGGTCTTCCCTCCTCTCCTGTGGAGTTTTCCTCCCTCCTCCACTCTCACAGCTTCCCCGCTCCTGGTTGCTAGGCGCGCGCCCCTCCCCCCCCTCCCTGCCCCTGCTCCCGCCAGAGGCTCTCCACCTGCCTGGCTTGTTTATTTACAGTCCCGGGAAGGATTCCCTTCCCCCAATCTTCAGCGCTCAGGGCGCCCCATCCTCTTTCCAGCATGTCTTAACTGTTCTTATTGCTTATTACTCAGTTTCTCTTTTTTTCCCGGGTGGAGGTCAGTCTGTCCAGGGGGCTATGCTGCTCTGGCCCAGGCTTGTCTGTGGGGCTACCGCGGTACCGCGAAGCTCACCTGGTCCGCATCTTCCCAAGCAGTATGGGCGTCGGCCACTGGCGGCCTGGGGGCCTCCTCGGTTCTCCGTTTAACGTGGAGTGGAGATTCTCTGCACCCGCTGGAGATGTGGAGGGGTCAAAGTTATGCCTTTTCTCAGTGATTATGCCTGCAAAGTGTGTCTCCAGCATCTCCAAGATTTCACTATAGGAGGCTCGCTTTCTGCTTCCTACCTCTAGCCGCCATCTTGGAATCCTCTGGGGAAGAGCTCTTAATAGAAGTTGAATCAGCTGGCACCCTGATCTTGGACTTCTGAGCTTCCAGAACTGTGAGAAAATAAATGTGTTGTTTAAGCCCTCCAGTCTGTGAACTGTTCTTATGGTAGCATGAGCAGACTAGCACGTGGCCATTGTGGAGTCTCAGAGTTCTTTCTTAGTACCTGCTAGCATTGCTACCAGGTCTACCTCTCTGAGAAAGTGAGAAAGCAGCCCTCTTCAGAGTTATAAAGGTGGATGCGTGAAAGATAATTACAAATCAGAACACCTATTTGGAGATTGTCTTTCTGCCCACCTTTAGATCTTTCTTTTCTCCAGCCTGGTGAAAGGAGCTATCTGTCCACATGCTGTGGGGTCTGGTTGGTATGTACAGTGATATGTGGGAATAGGACTGCATATTAGCAGCTATCCCAGAAATGCCAGGTTCGTTTTGGATTTTGATCCCCACTTTATTTTTCTCCCAAAGCAGTAGTGGATCATCACTCATCACAGGGTATTTTTTGGAACAGCATTGCACTTTGTTTGTATAATTCTTTCCTCGGATACAGGGTTTGATCCTTTCATGCAGCCTTATTTAAGATCTACAGAGTGCTATATTGATTTGACTTTATTTGTATTTTTAAGGCTTTTTGGAATTTTGCTCCAAGTAATCCGATGAATGCAGAACTGTAGAATTTATGCCTTAAAAGGCTGAATTACTGATACGTTCGGAAACTTTCTTATGACTTATCTCTCTCCTTTCTAGACCATCTAGGGTAAGGGCAGCTAAAATCCCCCTTTTAGAGTAGTTTTAGGTTCACAGCAAAGTCTTTGGTCTTGCTATTGTGAGCTTCTCAGTTCCTGATCAGTGATCATGAGGGTTCAGGTATCAGACTGCCCACCCTGGTCTCTAGCTCTGGTGTCACTGCACCTATCTGTGGTCCAGTGAAGCCACAGATGTCATTGGCAAGACCAGGTCTATTTCCTGTTTAAGTTTTCCCACTGATCACACCTCAGGCTATCGTTCTCCAGAATGTGCCATTTAAGATTTAAATCCTAACTTCTACCCTCACCTCCTATCTCATTTGACCCTAAGGAAGGATACTAGACCTAAGGAAGGTCTAGTATCATTAAATTTAACTTAGTGACCTGTGGTCTATAAAACCCTCACATACACTTTTTTGTTTGAGATTTCAGCAGATCTCAAAGGTGGGGAGATCTCCTCCACTTTATGATAGTGGATGTAGACTCAGGGTCAAGCTTTCCCACAGTCACAGCTGGTTGGGGGTTGGGGATAGAGATGGCATGCTGTGCTCTGTGAGTCCTGCTCCAGGTTCAGTGTCTTCTAAAGAGTATGGAGCTAAGAATTGTGGTTCACACCTGTAATCCCAGCACACACACCTGCAATCCCTGGCTGAGGCAGGTAGATCTGGGATTTGAAGCCAGCTTGGACAACATGTCTCAAAAACAAAGCAAAAAGTCAAGTCTGCTATTAAAGAAAAAGTCATTCTGTGATGTGTGTTAAAGCATAGTAGGGGAAACTTTATTAAGGACCATCTCAATAGGTGTAAAAGACCAATGCAACAGGGTCTTCCAGTGTGAGAGAGAAATTGGGGCAACTCTGAATTTAGCATGGGCAAGTAGGACCTTATAGCCAAAGAGTAGGGTGGGGAATCAGTGGATAGAAAATTACCAAGAAGCAACTTTGGAATATTCTGGCCAAATTGACCTACCAGGATTCTTGCTGAAGAGAGGCCAGGGTGACCAGACATCTCCTGGGGTGGCAGTGTGGGGATGGTGGAGCATGAGGATTCAGATTAGATATGAATGGCGATTAGTTATCAAGTGTGGGAGCTTCTTGCTAAAATCACTTAGGAGGGCTCTTTGCTAAAACTGGATTTTATAAGGAGTTTACAGATGAGCCTAGGAGAAAATTCAGGAGCCTAAGTTTGGTCAAGAAGAGAATCTTTGTCACTGCCCCTGGTGGGGTGGTTGCAAGTCTTGGATTTGAATAGTTAAATTTGTGTATACATGTATTTAAATACTTAGCTAGTTCAAAATGTTCCAGGCAGAAAATTTAAGTTAAAAAATGTATAAAGAATACCCACAAACATAGTACAGTATTATGGTGGAAGTAATGACTCCCTGAGTGCCTGCAATTCAGGAAATACTATAGTATTCACATACCTGTGGGAAATGACAGCATGGCAGTCAGAGTCTTTCTGTGTGTCCCAGCCTCATGGGTTGTTCACAGAATGATTAGGGAAAAGATATCCCTGTTCTCTAAATATCCATGTCCTCACTGAGCTGGAGAGTAATGATATCCCCAAGTTGGGCCGGCTTTTTTTTTTTAAATGTGGAAAAGTGACAAGAGTAAACGTGGTTGATATCATTTTGGGCACCCCACCAGCATGGTATAGTATATTGGGGGAAGGAGATGAATGAAGCTTGGGGAGGAAGGAGCCACATCTGGAGGGGGACATGGAAGTGCCCAGAGTTGTGATTTACCTAAGACTGGAGAGTTAAGTTAAAACCTAAACCAAAACCTGAACCAACCAGGGAGTGGTGGTTCAAGCCTGTAATCCTAGCTACTTGGTAGGTGGAGATGAGAAGGATTATGGTTTGAGACCAGCCTGGGCAAATAGCGAGATTCTCTCAACCAATGGCTGGGTGTGGTGTTGCATGCCTGTCATCCCAGCTATGCAGGGAAGCACAGATAGGAGAATAGCAGAACAGGCTGGCCCAGGCATAAAGAGAGACCCTTTCTCAAAAATAACCAATACAAAAGGGCAGGCAGAGTAACTCAAGTGGTAGTGCACTTGCCTAACAAGAGCAAGGCCCCAAGTTAAACCTTCAGTACTGCAAAAAACATAACAAGAAGGCCAAAAATCACATATTTTCCCTCATATGTGGATTATAGACCTGAAACAAATCTAGTAATATTATTGGACACAGGTTACACAATAAGGGGAGATTGTGCACAGGAGGAATAGGGAAAGGGAAGGAAACAAAAAACTTGAATGTGGTTGATGTGCTCACTGTATAGGAGTGAATGTAGTAATCTTAAACTGGCAGAGGCCACTATGGGAAGGGGACCAGGAAGGAGTGAAGAGGTCTGGTAGAGATGAACCAATGTGGGCTGTAGTACACAAGTGCATGGAAGCAATGCTAGGAATCTCTTTGTATAGCTATCTTTATCTCAAACTAGCAGAAACACTATGTCCTTCTTATTATCTCTTATGTTTTCTCTTCAACAAAATCAGAGAACAAGAGGGCAGAACAGGTTCTGCCCAGAAGTGGGAATGGGGAGTGTAGGGAGGAAAGGGGGGTGGGGGCGTGACCCAAATAATGTATACACATATAAAATAAAAACCTGAACCATGCCAAGAACTCTATATCATCTGTGTCCAAAGCATCTCTCTGCCTCTCACTTGTGGTTGATGAACATGTCCTGCATTTCTGAACTGAACAACACTGAGAGTTTTCAGCTGCATTGTTGTTAGGCTTTTTGGCTCAGTGCAGAGATATCTCTGACTATCTTCATACATCAGTGCACACTCCCTCCCCATGGAGTATTCTGGAATGATGTGTAAACATATTCACAAGCACGCCCAGTGGGTGTGCCCCTGGCTTCCAAGAGCCTAGTTCTCTCTGAACCCGGGTTATGGTGCCAGATAATAGTCTTAGAACAATATGTGATATCTGTGTTCTCCTGGCCTGGTAAGTTCCCCAGGTGAGAGAGAACATCCACCTGATGGAGGTCTGCCCACCTTGCTCCCCTGTCAATGGCCTGGCTTATTCAGGGGAGGCAGGGCTGAAGTTGGCTGGTAAGGGAAGGCTTGAGGGGCTTGAAGAATGTATCTGCTACCTCCCAGTTTCAACTTTTTGGTTTTTCTACAGGTTTTTCTTCCAGTTGGAAATGGGAACAGTTCTAAAAAAGTTAATTTTGAAGGTAGATTTTCACCAATCTCTTATAATCCAACTACCAAGAATAGTTTCAGAAATGTAAAAGTACGAAGTAAAGATTTTAATTAGCTTTCACTGTCATTGTTCATGGTGATGGTGATTTTACATATGATATGTGATGGGGAGATACTTTGTGGGGGCCTTTGTTTTCAGTGCATTCTCTCCATTTCAGAATTCAGTTGCAAATTTTGGAGAAAAAGAAATGAGAAAAGAACCTCTCAACAGTTTTCTTATGATTATACAGATATCCTGACTCATTTGCTTTCTCTTTGGAAACAAAAGCATAACCAGTTTTGGAATCTTTCTGGAACAAGGCCACCATGAAAGGAAAAATGGTTTTAGCAACTTTCTTCTTTGAGTGAGCTTACCTAGGAGACACACCTCAAAGGCAAAAGATGGCCCTGGATTAAGGTTTTGTTAATGGACCTAAAATTGTATGGCCTCTTGAATTACCATGTGGTTTTAGCTTCTTTTGTTGTTGATGTTGTTTGGTTTTATTTTATATTTGCAGAATCGGTGCTTCTTTCAGAGCCAGTGAACATAGCTGACTTGAGCCGTAGCTGTGCTGTTGCCAAACTGTCTTTGGAACCCCCTAAAGACTTGCTGGAACAAGGGAATTGCCCTGTCTGTATTGGCTGGGATATTTATTGCCTGTTCATTCCTTGGTGAGTGCCATCTTGAAGAGAGCTTCAGAGAAGGATATTGCTGTTGAGCATAAGGGTGCCAAGTGTCAGCTGGAGCCTGTCTCTGCCTAGTTAAAGTTACTCAACCACAGCACTGATGGGCAGCTCAGAAGAATTCCCCAAAGAAATGTGGGCCTCAGAGTCCCTGCTCAAAGCTGTCTTAGTATGTAAAGATTTTTGTTTTATTCTTCTTGGTTTCTTATCATTCCTGCCACAGTCAGCTTTGCTGTAAGAAGTATGGCAAGCATACCATGGGAAAGACCCCTAGAAGAATCCTTCTACACAGCCAATATCAGAAAACTTGACAACATAACCAAGTAGCTGAAGTGCTCTCTCTCTGTCTAGATACATCTCTCTATATATAAATATATGGGTTGCCAATGTGTTTCTTTCTTTTTTATAGAACATGGAGTACTGATCTCCTTGCCAGGTGTTCCACCCAACAGTGAGTAGTTAATATTCCATTTTTATAGCTTAAGCAAGTATATATCATTTTGCTAGAGAAATACATATAGAAAGCATGCAAATGTGTGTTTTCCTTTATGTTTCCAAAGTCCCTAAAGGACCGATACATCTCTCCTTGCTTCCAATTTGTGGTTAGAAAGTTAGACACAGAATTGGTTGGTGCTCACTGACGAATGGGTTAAGAAAATGTGGTATCTATACACAATGGAATTTTATGCAGCCATGAAGAAGAACAAAATGTTATCATTTGCTGGTAAATGGATGGAATTGGAGAACATCATTCTGAGTGAGGTTAACCTGACCCAAAAGACCAAAAATCGTATGTTCTCCCTCATAAGTGGACATTAGATCAAGGGCAAACACAACAATGGGAATAGACTATGAGCACATGATAAAAGTTAGAGCACACAGGGAGGGGTGAGGATAGGTAAGACACCTAAAAAGTTAGCTAGCATTTGTTGCCCTTAAACAGAGAAACTAAAGCAGATACCTTAAAAGCAACTGAGGCCAATAGGAAAAGGGACCAGGTACTAGAGAAAAGGTTAGATCAAAAAGAATTAACCTAGAAGGTAACATCCATGCACAGGAAATCAATGTGAGTCAATGCCCTGTATAGCTATCCTTATCTCAACCAGCAAAAACCCTAGTTCCTTCCTATTATTGCTTCGATGGTGTTTGTTGTTACTCCTCTTTTGCATTCCTGATTCTACTAATTTGGGTTTTTTCTCTCCTCATTTTAGTCAGGTTTGCCAGGGGTCTGTCGATCTTGTTTATGTTTTCAAAGAACCAACTTTTTGTTTCATTAATTCTTTTTATGGTTTTTTTTGTTTCTATTTTATTGATTTCTGCTCTTATTTTTATTATTTCTCTCCTATTTGTTTTGGGATTTGCTTGTTGTTTTTCTAGGTGTTTGAGATGTATCATTAGGTCATTGATTTGGGATCTTTCAGTCTTTTTAATATATGCACTCATGGCTATAAACTTTCCTCTCAGGACTGCCTTTGCTGTGTCCCATAGGTTCTGGTAGGTTGTGTTTTCATTTTCATTGACTTCCAGGAACTTTTTATTTCCTGTTTTATTTCATCAATGACCCATTGTTCATTAAGCAATGAGTTATTCAGTTTAAAGCTGTTTGCATGTTTTTTGTCTTTACTTTTGTTGTTGAGTTCTAGATTTATTGCACTGTGACCGGGGACCACTGGCTTGGTAAATCTTCTTCCAGCCTTTCATCCTAAGCCTATGCTTATTTCTGTTGGTGAGATGGGTCTCCTGTAAGCAACAAATTGTTGAATCTTCCTTTTTAATCCATTTCGTCAAACGGTGCCTTTTGATGGGGGAATTAAGTCCATTCATATTAAGTGTTAGTACTGATAGGTATGTGGTGATTCCTGTCATTTAGTTGTCTTAGTTGTTTGAAGGTTTGATTGTGTGTACCTAAGTTGAGGTTACTCTCTACTTTCTTGCTTTTTCTTTTCCTGTAGTTTGGTGCTGCCTGCCCTTTCATGGTTATGTTGGGTTTTACTTTCTGTGTGCAGAATCCCTTGAAGATCTTTTGTAGCGGTGGCTTTGTGGTCACCTATTGTATTAGTTTCTGCTTATCATGGAAGACTTTTATTGCTCCATCTATTTTGAATGATAGTTTTGCTGGGTAGAGTATCCTGGGGTTGAAGTTATTTTCATTCAGTGCCTGGAAGATCTCTCCCCAAGCTCTTCTTGCTTTTAATGTTCTGTTGAGAAGTCTGCTGTGATTTTGATGGGTTTACCTTTCTATGTTATTTGTTTTTTTTCTCTGTTACAGCCTTCAGTATGCTTCCCCTAGTTTCTGAATTTGTTGTTTTAATGATGATATGCCGTGGGATAGTTCTATTTTGATCTGGTCTGTTTGGTGTTCTGGAGGCCTCTTGCATCTGTATGGGAATAGCTTTCTCTAGATTTGGGAAATTTTCTGTTACTATTTTGTTGAATATATTGTGCATTCTCTTTGCTTGCCCCTCTTCTCCTTCTTCAATGCCCAGGATTCTTAGGTTTGGTCTTTTGATGGAGTCAGTGAGTTCTTGCATTTTCTTTTCACAGGTCTTGAGTTGTGTAACTAATAGTTCTGCGGTTTTTCCTTTAGTTACCATTTCATCTTCGAGTTCTGAGATTCTGTCTTCTGTTTGTTGTATTCTGCTGTATTGCCTTCCATTTTGTTTTGCAATTCTTTTTCGTTCTTTTTTCTGAGGTTTTCCATATCCTGGGTGGTTTCCTCTTTAATGTTGTCTATTTTTGTCCTGAGTTCATTTATCTCTTTATTAATCATGTTCTTTGTTTCACTTTGGTGTTTATACAGTGCTTCTATGTTTTCCTTTATTTCTTCCTGTGCTTTTTCAAATTCTCTAATTTTGTTGTCTTGGAATTTCTTGAGTGTCTCCTGTACATTTTGGTTGACCATATCCAGTATCATCTCTATAAAATTCTCATTGAGTACCTCTAGTATTTCTTCTTTCAGATTATTCTTGTGGGCTTCATTGGGTTCTTTGGCATAGTTTATCTTCATTTTGTTGGAGTCTGGATCTGAGTATCTGTTTTCTTCATTTCCCTCTGGTTCTTGTACTAATTTTCTGCTGTGGGGAAACTGGTTTCCCTGTTTTTTTCTGTTGTCCCATCATTGCCCTTGGTGTTGTTATTGTCCCAGTACTGTGTGCAATTAAGTATTTTCTAACTTGTAATAATAGCACTGTTGATATTTAGAATGGAAGGGTGAGAGGAGATGGAAAGCAAAGAAGTTAAAGGATTAGAGAAAAAGAAATGAACAAGTAGAAAAAAAACAAAACAAAGAAACAAACAAAAAAAGTTTCAAAGATGTAAACAGGGAGAATCAGTGTACTAATCAACCGTAAGGTCAAAAGGCATTAGAGAGATAGAGAGAGGATTGAAAATAAAAAAAAGTAATAATAATAAATAAATAAATGAAAAAAAATATATAAAAATCTCCAAGTTCAAATGCAATAAAGTTTCAGTCTTAATAATTTTGGTGTTTTTCCCTCAGCCTCCAATCCTGGAGATGGTGTCTCAGAAGTAGTTCTGTGGTTGTCTCATCAAAGGGGAAAAAGACTGGAAAAAACAAAATACGTAAAACCAAAAAAAAAAAAAAACTCCACAAAGTGTCCCAAGTTCAAATGCAATACAGTTTCAGTAAGTTTTTCAGCATGCAGGTGTAGTTCGGTTGTTTTCTCATCAAAGGTAGGGAGAGAGAAAAGAAAAAAAAAAAAAAGTGTCTGGAGACAGGTCTGTGAATGGCTATCTGCGGCTGTGGCTTGCCTGTCTGTTGCTGTCAGCCTGCTGTTGCTGGAGCCGTTATTTATGCAGGTCTCAGGGGTAAGCTTAGCACTCACCTGGCCCCGCAAGCTTTGTTTACTCAGAGTTCTCCTGTGCGTGAGCCGCTACTACAAGCTTTCCCCTTTCCAAGCACACTGGGGAAGGTGACACTGCACCTACTTTGTCCGGCTGGCCTGTTTATTTACAGTTCACATGGGAAGTGGGCTTTTACAAGCTGTCCCGCTCCTGATTGCTGGGTGTGTGCTGCTGCTCCTGCCTTCTCCAGCCCGGCTTGTTTGTTTACAGGTCATGTGGGATGTGGGTCTTCCCCGTCTCCTGTGGAGTTTTCCTCCCTCTGCCACTTTTACAAGCTTTCTTGCTCCTGATTGCTGGGCGTGTACACTGCTCCTGCCTTCTCCAGCCCTGCTTGTTTATTTACAGTTCTGTGAGGGATTCCCCTCCCCTGCTTCAGTGCTCCAGGCACTCCACCCTCTTTGCTACATGTCTTTTTTGTTGTTATTGCTTATTACTCAGTTTATCTTTTTTTTTCCCTGGGTGGGGGTTGGTCTGACCAGGGTGTTATGCTTATCTGGCCCAGGGTTGTCTGTTGAGTACCGCGTACCACTTAGCTCACCTTGTGGTCCTCGTCTTCCCAAGCCATCTGGGCTCTGGTGTCTGGCGGCGGCGCGGGCGCCCTCCTGGTTTCTCCGTTTCACATGAAGTGGAGATGGTCTGCGCAGGTTGGAGTTTGGAGGAGTCAATGTTTTGCATCTTCTCGGTGGTTTTTCCTGTAAGGTGTGTCTCCAGCATCTCTCCAAGATTTTACTTTAGGAGGCACGCTTTCTGCTTCCTTCCTCTAGCTGCCATCTTGGAATCTTCCCTCAGCATAAACATTTTAAAGCACTTTTTTCAAGGCATCTTATTTTTGAACTACTTCCTGTAGAGAATTCCTGGAAGGTTCATGGTTTGTAGATGAACCACACAGGGCTGGGCTGCAGTTCTAAACTGGACTGTCCCAGAAGACCTCCCAGAGAAGCTCAGATTCAGGAAAGATAAGAAAGTGGTAGGGTTGACCTTTTGCCCAAGAAGAGTAGGATAGACCCAAAGAAGGTGACTGGGTTAAAAAAACACATCAGATAAAATTTAACCAGCAAGGAAGCCAGGTTAGGGACAGGATGAAGATGCTGCTTAAAGGCTCATGACCTGTTGCAGTGCGGTTGGAGAATGTGGTCAAAGGTCCAGGGTAGTCAGGTTCTGGTAGTCACACCTTTACCCTTAACTACTTGGTAGTCTGAAATTGGGAAGATCACAGTTTGAGGCTAGCTCAGGCAAATAGTTCTCAAGATCCCATCTCTAAAATAACCAGAGCAAAATGGACTGGAGGCATGGCTCAATCATTAAGCGTTTGGAAAACAAGTTTGAAGCCCTGTGTTCAAACCACAGCCTTATGGGCAGGGGGAAGAACCCCAAGAAGCCCAGGGTATGGGGACTGAAGTGCTGAGTGTATATCTGTATCTGTGGAGAAGGTAGAGCTGACAGAAATATGATGGATTGGGCATGGATGTGAGAAGAAGAGGGTAAGAGGAGGCTTGCACTAATTTTATTTCTTACCTAGAATAAGGGGAAGGATGGAACTTCTATTCACTTGAGGGGTTAGGGTGGGGAAAAGAAGGCTGAAACAGT